TTTTTCTTTTTTTGCACTGATATAACCATACAGACATTGCAAGATGCAAGTGTAGAAACTGGAGTTAAAATAAAATTACAGGCAAAACTACCAAATTACATTGTAACGCTGTACATATTTACAGTACCATTTTTTGGAATGTATTGCCATTTTAAGAACATATAGAAACTTTCTACAGACTATTCCACTTACAGAATACATACACCTTTTAGAAAAAAAGGCAAATATTTATCTTACATGAGACCATGTATATTAAATTTGCGTACACATTATTATTATTATTATTATTTTACATTACATTTACTAAAGTGATCGTAAGTGCCATCATATCTCAGTAATGAAAACAGATTGGTTTTATGCCATCAGGACTGATTTTTTTTTCTTTTTTTCCTTTTTTTTTTTTTGTAAATAATTTACAATATTTTTTTTGTGTAAATACTGTGCAATAGATGGAAATAATAAAAGAGAAGGAAAAAAAAAAAGGACATGATGAAACGAAGTCAGCAAAGGAAAAGCTACTGCAAGGACAGCGGGGAAGGGCTAGATCAAATCATCAGGGTTTGGCATGAAAATTGGACTCATTTTAATGATTTTCCACGAGTGTATTGCTTGTTCAGGTGCTGTTTCTGTGGATTTTAAAGCAAACCAGGTAAAGTGGGAGTTGGTTTAAGGGAAAAACCAACTGTGCTGCAGCTCTGGGGGTGGAGGGGAGAGCAGAGCCAGGGGCAGGTTGTGCCTGGCAGGGCTCTGATGGGAAGGACCCTGGGATGTGCTGCTCCAGCTGGGAATCCCAGGGGCATCTCCTGCCCCAAACTGCCCAGGGCAGCTTGGACAGGGCTGCAGTGGGATGTGGAGCAGGGTTTGGAGCAGGGTTTGGAGCAGGGTTTGGGACCAGTGTGTGGCTTGGGTGGCCAAGGAGTGTCACTTCAGGGACACCTGGAATGTCACCCCTTGGGAGCAGGTGATGAACTACATTTCTCAGTCATAAATTATAAAGTCACAGCTACTTCATCGGGATTTTTCAGAGTTTCCTGCTGTGGTTCCTGGGTATCCAGCCAACAACCTGGGAATAATTGGAGCTGGCAGGGATCTTCTTCAAGGCACGGGGGCATTTTGGGGAGCCAGCAGCCCCCTCTCTTCATCCCATGGCCTGCTCAGCCCTGCGAGACCCTGAACTCTGTGACCTTGACAAAACCTTGATAAAAGTTGTTCAATTCATGCTTAAGCACAAAGAAGTTCCTAAAACTCCAGAAATACTTAAGCTCAAGCCAAGGTACAGGTGCTTTATGAGCTCTGGCTGTGAGTCTTGGTATTTAAGATGACTGTGTCAAGGGATTGTTCCAGAGCACGGGCCAAGTCCTCCGTGCAGGATGATTTCTTGGATGGCACAGCATCTGTTTGCCATGGAATACCTGCAGTCAGGGAACTGCACAAACAGCTTATCGGGGAAGGAAATACCCGAGCAGGGTTTGGGCTGATTACCCACAACAAAGAGGAGCAGCCAGGCCCTGGAGGCCACGTGCCTTCATGGATTATAAATTTAAGAACCTCTGCCACGAGAAAAGCAGGGGATTTGATTTCCACCTGCTGATGAAAAGGAAAGGCTGGGCTCTGCTTTTTCATTTGCCTATTTGCATTATTAATACATTCTCTTGCAAATAATACTGCTAATTGCTCTGCAAAGCATCTGTACTAACCTAACCATCCTTGCAGCCCTTGTGGGAAGCAAAATAGGGTCCATCATCCCCGTTTTGCAGACAGAACAGACATTCAGAGTGATATTAAAAGCTGTGACCACCGGGTGTGACACAGGGGAGCCAAAGGGGGATCCGGGTGGGAACAGCAGCCAGGGGTGACGGCTGGGGCTTGAGCCCTGCTGGGAATAACACCCAAAACCCTCCAAAAATCAGCAACATTCCTGTGCTCCTTGGCTGAGTAGGAGGCAGGGGGAGACACGTTTGCACGGGGTCACACTAACCCTGCCCGCAGACAGAGATGCTGGTGCCGGCGGGGAGGGGACGCCCTTCCCCGGAGCTCTGAGCTGGCAGTGTGACCATTTAGCCCTTAAATTGCAGTTAGGGGGTTTTTTGTGAGCCTCTTTGCCTATCCAATAGGCCGTATTGCCCGGGGGAACAGCGTGAAGCACCATTTCAGCCCAGCCAGAGCTTCCCCCTTCTCTGTTGAGAAGCCGAACCGGGTGGAGACTCAGCCCTGGGGGGTTCGTGCCCATCTCCTGAGTTTGCAGCGGCCCCTCCGGGTGCCCTCTCCGTGCTGGGTGTGGGGTCCGAGCAGGGCATGACCCTCGCAGCTCCACAGCCCTTCCCCAAAACTCCTCTCCCTGCTTTTATTGGCCCTGGCTGAAGAGCCTGGCTGCTCTGCAGCCCAGATGCAGAAAGCTCCAACTCATCCTGAGCTGCTGGAAAAGCTTCAATAATAATAATAATAATAATAACAACAACAATAATAATAATAATGACAACAATAAAAACCCACCACAAAAAAAATCAATAAACCAATGTAATGACTTCTGTGTTTTCTTGGGCTGTTTTTCCCCCTCCGCTCTGTCCATAAATGACAGAGGGGAACAAAAATCCACGCAAAATATCAACAGGTCAAGGATTCAAATGCAGTTACAGAGAGAAGCCGAGCAAATTTGATCTAGCCCAAAGCTCGTGGCAAATGCACCAAAAAAACCCAGGATGCTGAGTGCACAACTGCTGCAGTACTCTTCTTCATGTACAATTTATATATATATATATATGTGAGAGAGATATATATATATATCATTAAATACAAAAAGCTACCTTGGAATAATGTTAAGAGTGTGACAAAGAGGCAAAAAGTGGCAGAAGTCAGGAGAGTAACCAAATTTGGTGGGTAGTTTCCAGGGGTTTCACACCAGCCCTGGCTGAGCACACCTCTCCAGTCATCCTGATATTAAACACACACTTAAAGCCTGAGAGCAGAACTGAGCTCCAGCCCCTGCTCCTGCCACGGCATCTGAAAAAGATCTGAAAGCAGGACCAGCTTCCAGGCTTGGGGCCAAAAAAGGGGAAATGGGAAAAAGGGAAACTTGATAAAAGTGCTAATTAGGGTATAAATGGGTTCTGGATGTTGTTTGGGTCAGTGTCACAACCTTAATGTTATTTCCATGATATCTCCTTTTGTACTTAATTCCCTTTACAAGAAGAGCAAAAAAAAAAAAAATAAAAAAAGAATAACAGAAGATTATTAAAAAAATTTCTATTCTTTGCCCGTGAGACGGGAACAGTTCATAGCTCATCAAGTCTAGCAAGGAAATGTGTTCTCATTCAGGGTTTTATTTGATTCCTTTTATTTTTTTTTCATTTTTATTTTTTTTAAAAAGTGTATTACGTACCCGATAAACTGGAACAGCTCTGAAAGAAGAAAGAACTGGTCCACTGGTTAAATATTTATATCTTTTTTTTTCCTTTTTTTTTAATGTTAAAATAAAAAAAAAAAAAAGAGGTTTGTACAGATTTCATAGACCAGAAAACCCTCTGAAGTAGTAAAGAACCTGCTGTTTGCTGGGGCAAACTCTTGGATATTTGTGTTTTAAAAAGAGAATTAATGTGCCAGAGGGGAATGGCTCCGTGGGGTCACTCTGGATTTGGTATCTCTTGGCAGTAGAGGCCTTTGCTCTGCTAGGGATGGGCATCCTTAAAAATCTGCTCTGGCAGAAGTTGCTGTGCATGCAGAACAAGCTGGGTGCAAGCATTAACCATTGAGCATCACAAAAACACCCCAGGACGGGCCCATCGGCACAAGGGCTGCCTGGGGACGTTCTGCTGAGAGAAAGAAAGGAGGGGAAAATAAGACACAGAGTCCCTGGTGAGTTCCAGCCCCGACACGTGCAAAGGAGCAGAGCCCAAACCGCTCCTGCATCCCCAGAGCTCCACGGAGCCAAACCAGCCAGGGCCAGGCTTGGCATGGGATGGGATGGGATGGAGGGACTTTGTCTGCGACCAAAGAATGACAGAGGAAAAAACGGTTGCAAGGCTGAGTTTTGTTCCCCTTTTGAAGCGAGGGAGGTGTTCACAGAGGGCTCTGAAGCCCAGCCAGGCCGGGGCTCAGGCGCGGCTCTGCCGGGCGGGATGGAAGGATTAAAGCGAGCAGGGGCCGGCTCGTCCAGCGAGAGACACCGATCCTGGCCCTGGGGCTACATTCCATACATTCCTATGTTCTCGCAGTTCAATCTTTGAACCTTTTTTTTGTTTTTCTGTCCCTTTTTTTTTAGAAAAGTGCTTTGCTGGGTCCTGCGGGAGGGAGGGCTGCTCGTCTTCGGCTTTTCTCTCTCGAGGGACCGTTTCTCTCCCTTTGAACGCCTCTCCCCTGCTCGAGCAAGTGCTACTTTCACGTACAAGTTCAGGGTAAACACGTTTTTTTTTTCAAATGTAAAGCAGTTTCAACTGTTTAAAGCACAACCATAGGCAACCAGAGGGATGCAAGAAAAAAAAAATACCAAGCACTTTGCAAGAATTAAATAAAGCATGTAATAAATACGAATCATAAACTTCTGTACACAGGAGCAAGGGTTTGGGGTTTTTTCTTTTTTTTTTTTTTAATCATTTAATCAATATAAAAAAAAGTTTTTTCTGTTTTTTTTTGTTTTCAGTGCATCTTCTTCCTCTTAAAATGCTTAACCCTTTCCTTTCTGCATCTCTCAGGCCCAGAATTACGCACACCTAAATGGCAAAAAAGACAAAGGTCTAACAAACCCCCTTTCCAAAAAACTCTAAAAAAATATTCACAGCCTCAAACAGTTTTGTACATTTCAAGCAACAAAAGGTATAGAAAAAGGCACAAGTAACTGCATACATGTGGAGATAATACCAGACTGGGACAAAGAAAACCAGGACTTTTCCATGGGTTTGGTCATTCACTAGAGTGCTTCTTATCGGTGATTATACTAAAGGAAATAGTGTTGAAAATGTCTGTTGATTTTACAGAGGAAGCCTAAAGGTGGAACAGATGGAGGTTTAAATACTTCCCGCGTTTTCATCCACCTTTGTTTGAGTTTGACCTAAAGCTGCGTGCTCTGGGTGGGGGCTGCTCTTCCCGGAGGTGCCCCCTTGGTGCCCGGGCGGGGGCTCGGGGGGGCAGCCGGGGCTGCTGCCGCCGTCACACGGGGGGGCATCTGAGATGAAAGTGCAGGGTGACTCAACAGAAGTGCTCGAGCTGCCAGATTGCTTCTTGCCCGTTTTTTTGGGGGGTTCTTCCTCCCCGCTCGTCGGAGGCTTTGGACAGTGCTCCTGGGGTGTGCTGGGGCTGGCCGGGCCCGCCCGCTCCTCCGGGCTGGGCTCAGCCAGCGCTTGTACCCTGTGTTCCTCCTGCTCTGGCTGCTGCTGAAGCTCACTAGTCCTCATTTTCTCCTCCAAATAACCCCCGCTCAGCTCCGGGGACAGCGCGTACTTGGAAACCTTCGCAGCCGGGGACGCGGACGCCGCTGGGATTTGCGGCTCCTCATCCCCCTTGGGAGCCCGGCCAAACTCCGCCACGGCTCCGCTTCCAGAGGCGAAGTATCCGGCTTGTAGGGACACCACGGAGCTGGGCACCAGGCTGGGGTGGGAGCTGGGCCTGGCCTGGACCATCTGGATGCCCCCGATGGGGATCATGGGGTAGGGGGTCCTGGTGAGCTGCTGCGAGTGCAGCGGGAGGTGGCTGAAGACGTTCTCCTCCCCTCGGCCCGGGGCGTGGAGGTCGTGCGGTGCCTGCAGGGGCCGGGAGCAGACGGGCTGGGTGGGGCCAGGGGAGCGTGGTGGGCTTCGGGGCTCGATCTTCTGCGCCAGAGAGGGAAGAGAAAGAGCTGGATCAGTGCAGGGAACGAGTTACACCTTTAGCATCACTAACGCTCGCTACGAGGAGCAGGTTCAGCATTTGATTCTAATCAATCGACCACGGGAGATGTGGAGATCCAAACCTTTAAGGAAAGGAGCAACACAACCCACAGCGTTTGCCTTCTGGCTACAGATGTGCCGTGGTCTGCTGGGGCACAGATCCAGGGCTTTGGCTTAGGCTTGGATCGTTATAAAATCGGGAATGGTTTGGGTTGGAGGGGACCATTAAGGGTCATCTAGTCCAACCCTCCTGCCATGCAGGGACATCTTCCACTAGACCAGGTTGCTCCAAGCCCTGTCCAGCCTGATATGAATGTTCCAGGGATGGGTCACGTACTGCCTCTCTGGGCAACCTGTGCCAGGGCCTCCTCACTCTCCTGGTAAAAAATGTCTTCCTTGTATCTAGTCTGAATGTCCCCTCTTTCAGTTTAAAACCATCACCCCTCGTCCTGCTCTCAGAGCTGCCTCTGAAAGCCCGGCAGAGGAGGGCAGTGGTTGCTGCCATCAGAGCTGCTTTGGGGCCCTTTCAGCCCTTTTTCAGCCCTGGGTTCCTGAGAGCCCAGAATAATGTTATTTATTTTTTACTGTACTTTCTTACAGCAGGATTGCACCCTCCCAGCTGCTCATTGCAAGGATGCTTCAGACCGAGCGAGAGGCATCACTAACTCTGGTTTGACCAAAGCACACCCAGTGTGGTCCCACCACCACCCTCACGGGTGAGATTTGCTCTAGAAACCAAGGGTTAAGGCCCTACAATTTTACCTTTTCCTCTTTCTCTCTCGGTGCTTCCCATAGTTTCCTAATGTACATCATGGAGAGATATGGGGCTAAACAGAAAGGGATTAATTAGTGATGAGGTCATAACTAAACCCCTCCATAGGACTCCCAAGAAGGGGAAGCAACACAAACTGAAATCAACTTTCCACTGAGATGGGGTTAGTGACAAAATGTGAGGATCCACTTAATTTCTTTGTAGGATTATGGAGAACAATTTCCTGACCCTGTGAGCTGGATCTCTATGAAGAGGTGACAGAGGAAAGCAGCAAAAGAGGGTAGAAAGGAGACAAAGCAAGAGCCACCGAAGGTGGTGGGTACTTGGTCAGCCCAAACACTTGCTAAATGTCACTTATCCACAGGAAGTCTTGGCCAAATCACTGTAGGGATGCTGGGAACCCCCAAACAAATTATCTTAATGGTGCAACAGCCACCAGAAGGAGGAACTGCCTTCTGCAAGGGCCAGAGAGAAGAGAGATGGTTGTGGTGGGACTGGACAGAAAGCCTTACACTGAAACTAAGCTAAGATCATCTTCGAGCTCTGTTTAGAATCTGAGAAATCCCCCTCTGGTCTCTCTGTCTCTTGTAGCCTCACCAGGAATGTAATTTTGCAGTGAAAACTCTGCTGTTGTTGAGAAATGGGAATTTTTCCATTCAGGTCATTTTTGTTGCTTTGGAGACACACGAGCAAAGCAACAGCAGTGGCTCTGGGAGCATGAAAGGAGCAGGAACATGGAGTAAAAAGGTGTTTGAGAAGAAGCTGAAAGGTGAGAATGGGCAGAAAATCAGGGGCTTATTATCTCCTGCTGTGGATGTGGAAGCTTAGGGGAGTTGCTCCAAGTGGTGGTGATGGGCAGTTGTCCTGACAGAGATGCTTCAGAGCGAAAGGATGGGGGTTTCCAGAGCCCTGAGATTCCCCCAAGGAGTTAATTGACAGGAAAGGGAAATAGCATTAAAGGAAGCAAAGGTTTGGACCTAAAGGAAAGGACAGTCTCTGAGAAGGTGAGACAAAGACTGGTAGTGGGAAGCAGAAGGAAGGCAGCACCACGAGAACATCAGCATGGACGTGGAAGGAATGCACAGGGGGCAGCGTGGCTGCTCTGGAGAGGACCTGGGCCAGCATCTGCCATGGCAGGTTCTCCAGGGGCTGTGCAAAGGCCTCTCTCTTCCCAGTGCAGCCCCTAAGGGTGGAGTCTCTCCTCACACCAGTGTCACAGCAGAGCAACTCATGTTCACCGGCACAAATTACAGCAGAGCCAGGCACTCCAGAGGAATGGGAAACGTTCCACCACACCAGACATTAACCCACTGGAGCAGTGGGAGGAACGTGCCACTGCCCTTTACCCAGAGGGTTTGGGAGGTCCAGCAGAAACATTCAATAGTTTTCTGGGCCCAGTGGGAAACACTTCTCTGTGCTGAAGAGAGAAGCGAGACGGAATCAGAGATGTCCAAACAAACATTTCTCAGCAGTTCCTCTAGCAGAGGTCTAACACAGCCCAGGAGGCACCAAGGGCTGTTTCAGACCTGGTTCAGGTCACTGCCCAGTGAAGAACTGTCACAGCTTCACCCCGGCTGGGGAGATCTCAGAGATGGGTTTGGAATTCCCAGGAACAAAAAGGCTCTTAGTGACAATTGGTCATCAAGTGTTTGTCCTTGCTGCTTGTCTCAGCAGGACACAGGTTGGGGCAGGGGTGGAAATAACCCCTTGGAGAAGGGACAACTTTATTTCTCTTCAACTGAGAAGGGCAGGACCCTTCTCAGGGCAGGACCCAAATGGGTGCAAAGCCCATTGCTGCCCACTGTCCCTTTTCTGTGACATTGGTCACAGAGTCATCGTGCCCTTGGCATTCATCGTGCCCTTGGCATGACAACCTTCCTTAAAGGCCACAGCAGAGAACCTGCTGTGGGGTTTAGGAGGCAGGAGGGGACTGAACTTACCAGCTTGGACTCGTAGAGCTGTATGTTTTTGCCAAAGAACCTGTGAGGTAGAGGCATCGAAGATAATATCCCGTGCTGGGCTTGATATGAGCTTGGAACTTTGTCATCTGCTGCTGATTTGCTCGTGCCAGGCAAGTCCTCTTTCCCTGGGAATGGGTACCTGGGCGACTCCAGGGAGCCTGGAGACAAGACTTTCTTCAGGGATAAGTATCTGACGGATGACACGTCTCTGCTGGGTGAGGAGTGTCTCCCAGGGGAGACCTCTCCTTCTGGGGGGAGCTGTGCTCGCGGGGACAGCTCTCTCCTGGGGGACAGATGCCTGCTGGGTGACAGCTCAAGCCTTGGTGACACACATCTGAGAGGAGATGCCTCTCTCCTGGGAGAGACCCTCTGGCAAGGAGACAGCCCCCTCCCCGGGGACAGGCACCTCAGAGAGGACAGTTCTGCAGTGGGGGAGAACCTCTTGGGTGACGTTTCGTTTTTGGTTAACAAGTGCTTCCTCGCCATCATTGGTCTGCTGCCACCTCTGCCAGAGTCCTGGCTGGGAGACCACCTTCTCCTGGGGGAGGTGTCCTTGGAGGGTGACAGGTCCATGGCCAAGGACATCTGTGGCCTGGTGACGGACTCTCTTCCAGCAGAAGCCAATTGTTCAGTGGAGGTCAAAGCTGGTCTGTGGAGACTCAAGAAGCTGTGGCACACAGCAATGTCACTGCTGTCTGCTGACCACTTGGTTTCCAGCCCTGAGGACGAGGCCTGCTGGCCTTCACCTGCTTTTTGGGTGCTGGAAACGGCGTCTGGGGCTAAGGATGATGCTGTTTCGGTGCCTTCCTCTTGAGAAGATGGAGAGCCACCTGAAGAGTGCAGCAGGAGGGTGGTGTGTGTGCCTTCAGGCAACTTCAGAGGGGGCTCATCTTGGCTCTCCTCTTCCTCCTCATCCTCCTCATCCTCATTGTCATCATCATCGTCAGATTCCTCGAGGTCTGAAAACTGGTGTTCCTCAACTGGCTCGGATCCCTCCCGCCCCTCAGAGTCCTGGAATAGGTCTTCACTGGTTCCTGGGGGCGTGGAAAACACAAAACAGAGTGTCAAACACACACACAGGGGCTGTGCTAAACCTGCTCACGAGTTCTAAGGGCACAAGAAGAGAGAGGACCTGGCTCTTTTCTAGACCTGATCAGCCCTGTCCTCTGTGCCAACTCCACTCCCAATATTCCCAGTAGACCCCAGTGAATCCCACCACTGGGACCTCCTGCTCTACCCCAATTTCAATTCCAGCCATTGCTCTGTCAACATAAACAGAAAAAAGCCCTTAAGAGAGGATGGAAATGGCAGCACTGTCACCTTGAGTGGGGATTTTATGAGTATTTGTTGCAATGGTGTCTTCAAAAACATGTCAAAGTTCCCCTCCTCCACGTGCTGGGCCTGTTCCTGCCTGGGTTTCCTGACAGTTGAACATTAACAAGACAGGGCTTTTACTAAAAATCAAACAATAGGGTTGACAGACCCTCTGTGGATTTTCCCTCGACTGGATAAATTCCAGCTGTGATACAGATACTCCTTCGTGGCAGAGGGTTTGGGCTCTGTGCGTGGAAGGCCTTGCACGGGGATACTTTGTAAACCAGGGCTTGTAAACAGTGAGGGAGATACAGAAAGCAAATCCGAAGGATTGTAAATACTTCTGCAGGTAAAAACACAGCATCTCTCTCCTGCTCTGAGGGCCAGCAGGAGCCTTCTGAGCTCAGCACGAGCTCCCAGGCAGGTCCCTGCCGGCTCCCCCCTGCTCTGCCCTGCACAGACACAAAGCTGCTGTTCCCAGATGTGCAGCGATCCCGGCAAAGGGCGAGCCCAGCCCCGAGAGGTCCGTCGGGAGCAGCCACTGGATGTCACTGCAGCTCCAGGAACTGCTCTGGCAGGAGGCTGCGAGTCCCCCCCCGCTCTGGAGGGGCCGATAATCACCCGTTCACCGAGCTCTGCCCGCGCCGAGCACCCCGAGGATGGGGCAGAGCTGCTGGGACACACCTGGCCCCGGCTCTGGAATCCTGGATGCTGCTCTGGCACCGCTGTGGAGCCAACTGCAGCACTGCTGGCCCCTGTCCCCAGCAGCTCAGCCTGGGACACTTTCCCCTCTGCTGCCATCTGTCAGCAGGACCAGCCCGAGGGGACAGCAAAGGGAGCTGATCCTGAGGTCACCTGGGAGCTGGTTTGCAGAGGGGACATGAACTGGAGCTGATGCTGAGGCTGGACCTCACCTGGCAGGTGGTTTGCAAAGGGGACACAGCCACACAGCAAGAACTCACTCTGAGCCATGAATAAAACATCTAATTTTGTTTATTTGGAATACCAGGGCCTTACTAAACGCTCAGGAAGTATTTGGCATGACCAGTGACAGGCATTTTCCCATGGCTGATTATCCATCCAAGAGTCAGCCTGAAAACTGAGATGGAAAGGAGCTTCTCATTTGCTTCCCATCCCACTCCCAAATCTCTGTTAACTGGTCCATAAAGCCAGAACTCTGCCAGCATGGAGGGAAGGACCAGCTCTCCATGGACAGCCCAGCCTGCACTGCAAAGCCCTGCACAGGGAGGGGGTGCTGGGCCCAGGGTCCAGTGCAGGACTGTTTGTGAACTCCCCAAGGAACTGAGCTCAGAACAAACATTATTCCAAACAAGCAGCTCTCCCAGCTGCAGGGTGAGCCCTGCATATTTCTGGCTTGGAAAAGGAATGTGCTTCCCTGTCAGAGCCATGAGCCAGCCCCTGATTGTGCTGTTGGGGTTTGACATCTCGAGGGGTCGGGACAGACAGTGCCTCGCCCTCGGAGAGCCTTGCCCTGGGTGGGCTCAGATTTTGGCCCCAGTCACACCAGGGATGGGCACTGGCCAAGGGCAGGAGTCTGCAGGGAGGGCAACATGAAGCCAATTTGCATTTGCCACCACGGGACAGGTTTCAGTGAGTCCTGGGACAGCCCCAAGGGAATCTGCCTTGGCCTCCTGACATGATTCCAGCAGGCAGGAACAGAGCTCAGACCTCAGTCCGGGCTTCTGGCAACCCAGATCCATCTGCTGAGCTCATGGGGAGAGAAGGGGCACGTCAGGAGAAGACAGAGAGGGAGGGAGGGAGGAAGGAAGAGAGAGGGAACTAGTGAGAATGTGTCCCGTCGATGGCTTTGGCTGAGGGTTCGACTCCATTTCATTTCCATTTCATGTCACTATTTATTCTGAGGTTATTCCACCCAACTGGTAGCAAAACCAAGGCAGGAGTGAGGAATTATACTCCAATCTCCTTTTATAGTAACACCCTTTGCTTTCTTCGGCCCCTTAAATAGAAATAAAAACAATCAAGTGAAATATAACCCCGGTTTAAAATAATCCAAGGAGTTTTAGGAACTGCTGCTCCCCAAAGGAAAGCACAGCAACCTTCCTGCTCTGCCTTGTGTCACGTGGAAACTCTAGTCCTTTTTTTATTATTTAATTAAAATATTCCTTTAATTTCTAGTTCTGAGCCTCTTTGCAAAGAAGAGAGAGGACACTGTGGTTACTCCTTGCAACCCCCCACTCTGGGAACAAGGGGTGTGACACAGCTGTGAGCTCTGATTTCTCATGCACCTTTCTGCCATTTTTGTGTTATTTTCTCATCCATCCAAATAGCCCCAATCATTACAGTACAAAATCCCATTTTCTGACCATCTTCTTGGCTGCCTTAGTTAGTGTTTACTTGACATTTGTGAGCAATGGGCCTCCTTGCTCGTGGAGCAGAATTTCAATTTTCAGTAGAAGTCCAGTGTTGGCTTTAACCAGGTGAAAAAGAAGCTGGGAGGGGAGCAAGGAAACATGCCCTGATCCCACACCTTCCCAAGTGCACCTTCCTGCATTCCTGCCTGGCAGCCCATCCCCTTTACACAAACACCAGGGATCTGCCTCCATGGGAGGAAATGGGGACTGTGTATTTTTATTTTTTTTTTTTTTGTAATTCTAAAATTACACGGATTTCTTGCATAATGCAATAAATTCCAGACAGCACAAGGCATTCCAGGAGCAGCCTCACAGCCAACAGCAACATGGGGAGGGGAGTCCCTTCCAGGAACCCTCTGCAGCCAGGGGGGGCTCAGCACTGTCCAACCTCAAACACTCAGGGATCAGTGATTTCCAGCACCAAGTGCCCCAGCTGATGGTCCCATCCTGCTGCCTGAGTGCTCTCCCAGCTGACCTGGGGATGCCCATGGACCTTCCTGGGGCTTTTTAGACCTTCTCTATCCATGAGGCCGAAGGCTGGGAGCAGCTCAGCCTCATCCCCTCCCAGACCTCCCTTTTCCTGAGCCTGGCAGGGCTTTCACACCCACGGGGATTTTCACAACACTCCCCAGGGCATTAACCCTGTGTGACCCGGGGGTGAATGGCTCTGGAATCACAAAGGAAAACATTCCCCTGGCCTGCTGAAGGGAGCCCTGATGTCCTCAGAGCTCCAACTCCATGGAGCACAAATAGGATGTTGGATTTTCAGGTTTTCAGCAGTGACACTCAATTAATGTGATTCATTAGTTCTATAATGGAAAGGTTTAAAATAACAGTTGTTCTTTTAGAATTATGCAACCAATATTTCAGAGGCACTTTCCTCTCTTCCCAACCAGCTTTGATTACAGACTCAGGAATGGTTTGGGTTGGAAGGGACCTTAAAGATCATCTCATTCCAGCCCCTGCCATGGGCAGGGACACCTCCCACTATCCCAGGTTGCTCCAAGCCCTGTCCAACCTGACCTTGGACACTTCCAGGGATCCAGGGGCAGCCACAGCTTCTCTGGGCAATCTGGGCCAGGGCCTCCCCACCCTCCCAGCCAACAATTCCTTCCCAATATCCCATCTCTCCCTGCCCTCTGGCAGTGGGAAGCCATTCCCTGTGTCCTGTCCCTCCATCCCTTGTCCCCAGTCCCTCTCCAGCTCTCCTGGAGCCCCTTCAGGCCCTGCAAGGGGCTCTCAGCTCTCCCTGGAGCCTTCTCTTCTCCAGGTGAACCCCCCCAGCTCTCCCAGCCTGGCTCCAGAGCAGAGGGGCTCCAGCCCTGGAGCATCTCCATGACTTTAGTGACCTGGAGAAGCATCACCCACGTGTGGTGTAAGAGCAGGGAGAGATTTCTGGAGATAATCAGCAAATCAATTACTTAAAGTGAGTTTTGGGCTGAAAGATTTTTCCAGCAATCCCACACGGGAGCAGCCTCCGTCTCCCACTGCTCCCACCACACCAACACTTCTCCCTTGGGATGGCTCCTGCAGAAACCCCCACTGGGTTTGCTTTTGGCCATGTCCTGCTTTGGAAAGGGCACAGCAAAGCCCAGCACAGCTCTGCCTGGTGGAAAGGTTGTTCTGAAGAGCTGGAGAAGAGCCAAGAGCTCAGGAAGATTTAAAAGGAAGAAAGCCACCCCTTGAGGTGGAGTCAGCCAGGTCAGACATCCTCAGCCTTGGCTGGATATTTATTCTGCATGGCCTGGGAGAGCCCTTGGTCCATCCCTGGGCACCAGGAAAGGTACTGGGCAAGGGGACAAAGGGGGTTGGCAGTGCTGGCTCTTCCTTTCTCCTTTGTCCTCCATCCCTGATCTCCCAGGTGACCACAGTGGGGCTGAGCCAGAAGCCAAACCTGAAAGGGGAGGGGAGCACTGCCCTGGGGATCCCTGGCCTTTGGGACTGGCAACCAGAGGCAGTTATCTCAGGTATCTCCTCCAGCTTATGTAGAGAATCACAGAATGTTCTGAGCTGGAAGGGACCCACAAGGACCAGAGTCCAACCCTTCAGTGAACAGCCCATATGGGATCAAACCACACCCTGGGTGTTTTCAGCCCCAGGATCCAACCAGCTGAGCTCATCTCTGCTGAGCCATGGTCAGTTCAGGTCAAGGACAGTCCCATCTGACCCAGGACAGGGCAGTGCCAAAGCCCCACAGCCCCCTCAGCTTGTTCTCTGTTCCCCCCACCCGGAGCAGCCCCATCCAGCCCCCTGGGCAGGAATGCTGAGTCCCAAACTATGCTCAGCACTTTTTGGCAGTGTGGTCAATGGGCTGAGCCACAGAGGGTTGGCTGTTGGTTGCTCCTGCAGTTGAGATGATGGTGTGCCAGTGCCTGCAAACATCCCCAGCACTTCACTAACCAACCTGGAGATCCCCCAAGGGTTCAGCACGGCAGGGCAGCATTTCTAAGCTTTAATATCCAAAAATTCAGCCATAAAGCACCTTGGAGGTGCCAGTGGGCAATGCCTGGTGGGCACAGTGACATCCTGGCACCACCCCAGCACAAGGAGCTGCAGCTGCAGCACAGCCAACCCTGTCCTGCAGGGGAACACTGAGTGATTTTTAATCACCTGTGGAGGAGGAGTGTGTGACACTGCCCACATCCCAGGAACAGCCCCGTTCCCAAGAAGGTCTGGGATGGACCTGCCCCCAGCAGGGGAGTGGGGTGATAAGCAGTGTTTGTTGTTCCTGCCCAGTCCACATTCCCTGGCTCCCACTCCAGGACTGGCTCAGCTGATGTTCACTTTACAAAAATAACCCTGGCACCCTGTGGTTGATGGAGTTCATTTTAACCCCTTGTCAGCAAACCCTCATGTGCTGGGGCAGAATGAGGACCAGGGATGGGGGGATCAAACTTGTCTGGAGTGAGACGGGGGGTGAAACAGGGAAAAAGCTGCTGAAGTCACCCCAAAGGGCTGCTTTCACCCTGGGACTGCTGGGGTGGCAGCCAGGAAGGGGCAGTGGTGTCATGGTCATGCCATACAAACAGGAACACCCCCCTGCTCTGTGGCACCGAGGGTTTTACCCAGGAATAAATTCCCTGGGACAGAGACAGTGGTGTGGGCTCTGCCCAGGCACCAGTGCCTCCAGATGCAGCCCAGGTTTGCACTGGGAATTTGGAGCAGCCTGGGATCAGCCACATACAGCAAGTTGGACAAGTCCCTAGAAGATAATCCTGGTGGAAAAGTCCTTCTCTGAAGGCCCTTTCAGGAGAAGAGTATCACCTGTGCTCCCAGAGCCCTTTCCCCTCTCAAGCTGTGCAATGTTTCCTATAAATGTGAATGGCCTGCTGAATGCAAAAGACCCAAATTTCATGGGGACTTGAGCTCTTCTGCCCCTAAAGCTTCATCCCCATCATTCCTCTGACCCCTGAACACTCAGGGTCTTGCTGAAGGACACAGAATAGCAACAATCAGAACATCCAACTGCTCCCTGGGGACCCACAGCCTGACCCTTCCCAGCCTCCAGTCGTTTGGGTCAAAGAGCCTTTCCTGGCACAAACTGCCAAGTACACCTGAGACTGCCCTGTGTTTCTTCATCTCCCTCAAGATCCTGAGATCTTCCTCAGCTTCTCTGATGGAGACAGGAGTGGTTGTCTCAGGAGATTTACTCCTTGGGAGGACTGCAGGGAAATGCAGCTGCACACACCTTAAACCAGGGGGGAAATGAGCAGATAAGAGAGTCCTCCTCCAAGAACAGACTCACTCCTGAATCTACAGAGCCCTGCACAGACTTTGTGTGTGTGTTTGTGCAGAAGGAGATGAAAGAAGGAAGCAGGTGAGTCAGGGGAAATGTATCTTCTCGTAAAGCACTCGGAATGATGCCACTAAATGTCAGAGCCCCATGTTATTTTGGTTTTTCCGGCTCTTTCCCCACTGAGAAATCTTCCAGATAGTTTCTGACCTGCATGATTCACCTTCATCCTGCCCATGGACACATGAGAGTAAGGGATGAGGGAAGCAGGTTCCCCCTGTGATGTCCCTGGGATCCCCAGTGCCTCCAGATGCAGCCCAGGTTTGCACTGGGAATTTGGAGCAGCCTGGGATCAGCCACATACAGTAAGTTGGATAAGTCCCTAGAAGATGATCCTGATGGAAAAGTCCTTCTCTGAAGGCCCTTTCAGGAGAAGAGCATCACCTGATCCCTGATATTCCTGCACTGCTGGTGTCCATCCCTCTGCAGGAACATCCCCACTGCCTGCAGGGGTCATGGGCTGAAGGGTCACCCCCACACTCACTCTCACCACCTTGGCTCCAGTAAAATGGGCTGCCAGACCCTAATCTGGGGCACCAGGGCTGGCTTTTCTCCTCCACCCATCAAACTGTGCTTGCAGCACCAAAGTGGGGGTTCACAGCCTCAGGAAATGCATTCTCAGGGTGGGTCCTGTTTTGCTGCTTCGAGACTCCCTCCACATCCAGGAGAGACCTGGGCTCTTCCAGAGCAGTCAGGCTCCTCAGCTCCCTGCTACAGACACCCCAAAACACCTTCTCATGCCACAAGTTCACTATTTATTCTGATGCACAGAGCCCACCCACCGTGCTGGGCCATGGTCAGGGTGCTGCCCACCCACCCCTGTGCTCTGTCTGCAGCCAAAATACTTCAGGCAGAGTCACAGAATCATCAAGGCTGGAAAAGACCTCCAGGATCACCAAGTCCAACCATTAACCAGCACCACCACTATGTTCACCTCTAACACACAACCCCCAGCAAGGAGACACGAGCTCCCAGCCTGTCCCACTGGTGCAGCCCCCCGGGATGGCCCCACAACCCACACACAGAGACATCTCCCCTGGCTGCTGGAAGGAGCCTGGGCTGAATAAAACCTCTGCACATCTTTGGAAGGATGATCCATGGAGCTCCTGCCCTCTCTCAGCATCAACAGCAGGTTTATAAAGTTTAAAATGTTTATAATGTGAAGGGTTTTACCTTCTTCGGCTTCCAGATCCACCAGTGAAGATACCAACACGCCCATCTCCTGACATTTTTTGCTGTGGGCTTTTGACTTCATGTGTTTAGTCAGATTCCCTGTAAAGAAGCAGAAAACAGATTTTGGTCAAATATGGCTCTTTTTTTTAGGTTTTTTTTTTCCTCAGTTACAAGTCAAAACTGTGGCTCTGAGCCAGACAAAGACCCCTGACGGTCCCCAGGCCACTGTCCTTGACAAATACCCTGTGACACAAGGCCAAGTCCTCCCTTTATCCCTTTGCTGCTGCACTGGGGTGCAAGAGGAGGTGCTGGAAGGGTCCTGTGACCTTTCAGGTGTTGTGCAACCTGAAAAAGCTGTCGGGACACAGTTTTGGGCTTGGGGGGGAAGAGAAGTCCTGGGTTGCTCTCAGCTGTGATGGTGCAGCAAAGGAAAAATGGTAGGAAAGTAGGGCAGAGAAACATCTCAATGTAGCATCACCTCCCAGCTCATCCCAGCACACCTGGAGGGGAGAAGCTCCTCAGTAGCACAGGGTTGGTTCTACCCTGGTTCAAAACCTCTGTAGGTGTGGCACTTGGGGACATGGTTTAGCCTTGGCAGTGCTGGGTTAGGTTGGACTCAATGATCTTAGAGGGCTTTTCCACCCTTAACAATGTCATGAGTCTACAATAAAAGGAGGGGTTGAGTTGACAGCAACAAGGAAAAAACCATCTAAACCCTCTCTTCCCCCAGCAGGATGGCTCAGGGGCTCTGGCACGAACCGAAGTGCCAGGGAAAAGTTCCGAGGAGTCCTGGATACCCTCTGGGACACAGGGTCTGCCAGCACTGAGAAAATGAGGTTTTCCTGGGGCCAGGGTGGGAAGAGCAGCCCCTGGGAAGGGGAGGAGGGGCTGTGGGGGACACTGGTCCCTGCTCTGGGCCAGGGGGATGGGAAAACTGGAGAGCATCCTCAGGGAGCACCTCTCTTAATTCCACCTCCCACCTCCCAGGTCAATTAGACAGTTATTAACCCCACTTACAGCCAGGGGAAATGCTGAACAAAGGGGAACATTTGTCCAAGGGGGGAAAGTAGGTGGAACAGAGAGAAAAACAAAGGGTAGGAGAAATAAAGAAAAAGGTCCCATTTTACCTGTTGTCTCCACCTATTATAAATATATATATATATAAAAATATATTTAAAAATACATATATTTTATATACATCCAAATATGTATTTATAATTATATATTTTATATAAATATATTTATAAATGTATATGTATAATCCATCATAAATGGTTTGGGTTGGAAGGGACCTTAAAGCCCATCCAGTCCCATCCCCTGCCATGGGCAGGGACACCTTCCACTAGCCCAGGTTGCTCCAGGCCCTGTCCAACCTGGCCTTGGACACTTCCAGGAATGGGATTTATGGGCTGAGGAGGATGAGAAGAAACCTGGGCTCTGTTGAAGCTCCACCAAGAGCTGTTTAATTCCCCAGCACAGCCCAGGAGCTGGCTGAGCACTCCCCATTCCCAGGATTTGCCATCAGCCCTCCTGGGAGCTGACTTGGAGGGGAGGAAGGAACACCAGGCTTGTTTTTCTCTCCAAAATTAAAAAAAAAAAAAAAGGAAAAAGTGAATTCTCTGACTTTATTGCAACGTTCCCTGCAGGCTGAGCTCCCTCAGCTGGTGTCCTGCAACCCACAGAGCCCCCAGGTCCCTGAGCTGGTGGAGCACAGAGGGCCTCTACAACCTCTGCTCTGCTGCTCTGGACAGCAGAAATAAATAAGCAGCTGTTCACTGGAGCAGAGAATTACCTGTGACGCCCTCACATCTCAGAAGAGTCCCATAACCACCTAACTCACTTTCTCTTCAGCCCATGAATTATTTATTTGGCCCATTTTATCCAAAATGGAACAGCTCCAACAGGAAAGACCAGGAGAGACAAAGGCTGACTATATATCCTTGTGTATCTGGCACCCAACCTGGATGTGGATTCAAGGGATATTTAATAATTTAAATGCAGCAAACCAGCTCCAGTAAGAGAGATTTATTATTTTTCAGCTGAAATACCCTCAGCCCCACAGTGAGGACACTCAGGTGGGAGGAGGAGGCCAGTCTGGCTCAGGTCCTTGCTCCAGATCAAACCCAAACCCCTCTTTCTCCACCTTGGACCAGCAGTTTTGTTGTGGACCCAAAGACACCCAGTGAGACAAGAGATGTTCTCGTGGTTCCAGTGAATCACCGTTGTCTGAACATGAAAAACTGTCCCAATGAAAAGTCTCCAACAAGTCCAAATCATGGCCTCATGGAACTGGAATTTAATGTTGGATCTGACTTGGAAAAATACAAACTGAGTCAAAGTGTTGAAATCGAGCCCTGCTGCTGCTGCCCGTCCATCACAGCCATGCCAGCCTGGCTGGCACAGGGACCCAGCTCTGCCCAGCCCCACAGCAAAGCCCTGCCTGGAGCCCCTGCAGGGACAGGAGACAGAAAATCAGCCCAAGGAAACCCTGCTGGGACCAGGGGGTCGTTGGTTCTTCTCTGTGGCACCCCTGAGCTCAGCTGTGATGCCACAGTGGGATGAGTGGGGAGGGGGCACTCACCAGGAATTTTGGTGCTGCCACAGCCCCCAGACAAGCTCAGGAATTCCCTGTTCTCCATCCCCCTGGCTTTGGCTGCACCAGGAGGGGACTACATTGATTCCTGAGGGGATAACATTAATTCCTGAGGGGAGGGGGCTGCTGAAGGCAGTGTCTGGGGCAGGACTGCAGCCCCCCTGTACTGCCAGGGGGATGGGATAACTCGTGGGCACCTCTCTAATTCCACCTCCCAAATGACAGGCAGGTTAATTAGACAGTAATTAACCCCACTTACAGCCAAGGGAAATGCTGAACAAAGGGGAACATTTGTCCAAGAGGGGGAAAGTACTTGGAACAGAGAGAAAAATAAAGGGTAGGGGAAATAAAAGTAAAATTCTCAGTGGGCCTCAGTGGCCACCGTGGCCCCCTCAGCTGCCTAAAGGTTGCTGGGACACAAAGGTCCCTCCTGCTCCCTCAGCCCCAGTGCCTTCCCATCCCTCTCACTCTCCCTTGCTGCTGCAGGAGCAGGGCAGGATGAGATCTCAGCCCCCAGCCCTCCACTCCCTGCCCTCTGCTGAGCCCCAGCTCCCTCCTGAGCAGCACTTTGGGTTCCCAAACGCTGCCAGAAGCCACCAGTGTCACTTCCCTTTTCCTCTGCCTTCCCTGGAGGCAGCTGTCCTTGTGCAAGGCATCCCTTGGCTGCTGCCCTTCCTGCCCCAGCAGGCTCGGGGGGAGCTGGAGCCACAGCACAGGCAGTGCCAACCCCCGTGCCAACGAGTTCATGCCAAACACCAAAGCACCAACTCATTGCAAAAGTTGCTTTCCTTCCTCCTCTACTTTTTTTCTGCTTTCTCTCTTCCCTCACCCTCCTTTGGCCAAACACCAAAGCACCAACCCACTGCAAGTGTTGCTTTCCTTCCACTTCTCCTTTTTTTCTGCTTTCTCTCTTCCTTTGTCCTCATTTGTTCACCCAACACTGATGAACAAGATCACCCTGCAAAGCTCTGGGTGCAAATCTCCCCCTGCCCATCCCAGCACACCAAGAGAAGTCCCAACAAAACAGAGGGATGCTGGAATCCTTTCAGAGAAGGGAGATTCAGCAGGAGGGATTCTCATCTGACCCCTGTGCAACAGTCTAAGGAAGTTAAAAGCTGGAGGCTCCTTTCCACCAGCTGAGGAGCTGAGTTATCATCCTGGGAGTAATTTGGAGGACAAGGATATTTATCTTATCAGAGCTCATCCTCTAGTTTGTGTTTTTTTAGACCCCTTAATTAATGCTGGCAGGATTAAACACTAAAGTCCTTCGGCAGATTTCCAGGAAAATCAACACCACTTCGCCGAAGTAAAAGTTGGATATGAATCCTACCAGGAAAGACTTGTTGCCTTCCAGAGTTTTGGCTCCCAACTTAAAAAATAATAATAGAAAACCCCGAAAACCACACAGCATCTCTTCCTTGAAAACCCTGGAAAAAACAGATTGGAAAGAGCAGGAGAGAAACTACGAGGCAGAGAAGCTGCATTTGGGCAGCAGAGAACTTACACTGGACCCTAAGCAGGTAAATGGGTCTCACTAAGGATTGTTCACCAAAGAATTCCCAGATTTGGAATAAACTGGCTACATTTAAATAATGTCAGGAATGGGTGGAGGCTGGGAGGCCTCTGCAGCCATTGGAGCACGGGCAGTGTCAGCACAGTGCCCACAACTCTGCATTCCAGCTGCTTAAGCCCTTCTGATGCTGTGAGGTCTTATTTTGGACTTCAAGCAGCTTAAATCCTTGTGTTGTTTGGAGAAAGCCAAAACTCCAGTGTTCCAAAAGCCCCTAAAGCAGCTTAATAGGGACTAGAACTGATTTCCCAGTCCAATTTAAAGAGGGAAATTAATTTTTCGGAATATCCGTTATCGTATTTTAGAGGTGGCGGAGTTAAAGAAAAATGTAGGGGATGGAAACATTAAGATTCCTGAACAAATGATCCTGTCTGTGTTGGGGATACACAAAGCTTTCTAGTTCTCCTATCAAATATGATCAGTTCAGCAACAAAGTCAAGAAAACCCCAAACCAACAAGTGACCAACTGTGTGATCTGAGCATCGAGGCAGCACCAGGACACGGGCACAGCTCCCAGGGCTGAGGTATTTTCATTTTTCTCCTTTAAAATACTTTGCAAGGAGAGCAACAGCTGCAGCAAACTCCCATTTGGACAGGCTGGGAGAGCTGGGGGGGTTCCCCTGGAGAAGAGAAGGCTCCAGGGAGAGCTGAGAGCCCCTTGCAGGGCCTAAAGGGGCTCCAGGAGAGCTGGAGAGGGACTGGGGACAAGGGATGGAGGGACAGGACACAGGGAATGGCTTCCCACTGCCAGAGGGCAGGGATAGATGGGATATTGGGAAGGAATTGTTGGCTGGGAGGGTGGGGAGGCCCTGGCCCAGGTTGTCCAGAGAAGCTGTGGCTGCCCCTGGATCCCTGGAAGTGTCCAAGGCCAGGTTGGAGCAACCTGGGCTGGTGGGAGGTGTCCCTGCCCATGGCAGGGGGTGGAATGAGATGGGCTTTAAGGTCCCTTCCAACCTAAACCATTCCATGCCTGTTATGATTTCGCTGTGAGAGAACCAGCCACAGGCCAATGCTCTTCATCCCAGACAGATCCTCGAACCAGATTTTATGTGGGATTTAAATAATGCACAGGCCTTGATTTAGGTCTCAGTGTGGAGATAATGTCCCCAAGTGAGACTTTATGAGAAGGAAAGCTTTAATTTATGTCATTCATGGGGCAAAATATTTCAATTTAAATATTTTTATTAATATCTTTTATACTTATTGACATAAAGATTAAAAGAGAGAATTTGCACTTCAAGCCTGCCTGTATTGATATGGGCTATAAAATATGAGTCACCTCCTGGATCAAACCTATCAAAACTGTTCTTCCAGAAGGGTACCCAGGCTGGGTGTGCAGGTTCCAAAAATCCTGGGAATTAGCACATTTTCCATTAAGGCTTGTGCTGAGCCTTTAACAGCAGCACTATTTAGACAAAATAACAGTTAATATTTCACTGAACTCACCAGTCCTTCACTTCCAGCCCTCATTCCTTTTTTTTTTTTTTTTACCTTTCTCTGGTTAAAGAACCTTTTTGCTCACAGTGTTTCATCTCCTGTCTGGACCATTGGGTCATTTTCTGTTCCCAGAACACCACATTGTGGAAGGGAACAGCAAATTCCTCAGGATAATTTTGTTCTCATCCTGCTGGAGGTTTGTGAGGGACCAAACCCTTCTCCCAGCAGTGGCTCCACAGGGATGCTCAGAGCCTTTCCCTCCTCTCAGTCATTAAGGAAGGGCCTCAGCACACAGGGGTATTTTGCAAATGCATCCATCAGTGCCCCAGCACACGGGGATATTTTGCAAATCCACCTCTCCCTCTGCCCTGCTCTCCCAGCACTTCATTCTCCGGGAGCCTTCAGCCAGTTGGACCCACTCTGCACTTTCCAGAGGAGGCTTAGCAGGAGCTGAGTCTCCTGGAGCAGGAACAACAGCGCACTGTGCAGCCACAGCCTTGCCTTGAAGGGCTGAGGGGGTAATGCTTTTAATATATGAACCTGTTCAATAACCTCCCTGCCTGTCAGGGGCTGATTTAAGGAACTGCAAACTAATTTATTAAAGGAAGGCTGTGGCTGAGGACATGGAGAAGTCTGGTGTCTGGAAACTGTGAGTGGCCTAGACTATCAAATGGGTCTCTTCAGCCAACAGGCACTGATGTCCTTCACACGAGCACCTTTTAAATGAATATGAAGCTTCTTGTCCCTGGTGACCCCCGAGCAAAGGCAGCAGCGTTGGCACAGCCTGTTCCCCACACTGTGGCCAGAAATTTGGGGGAAACTGAAGTCATCAGGACGTGAGAGGCTGATGTGAGGCTGAACTAGAACAGAAAATAGCTGTGGAGAAGAAGAATGTCTGCACAGGGGGGGCATTAATGTGCCAACACTGCCCCACAGCCCCAGGGCACCCCAGGGCAGGAGGGACAAGGGGCTCTGCTTCCCTCCAGGGGCTGGAAAGGAGGGACCAGGGAAGGCTGGGTGAGGAAAAAGCTCTCCCTGACCTTCCTGAAAGGGAAAACTGTAAGACTGCAGCTTATTCTCCATTTCCTTCCTGCTAAGAAAACAATGAAGAAGCTGCTTAACCTCTTTTAAACAACCTCTTGGAGGCCACGGTCACAAACCTCTTCGGGGAGCTCCACAGTGGAGGCAGAGACACCTCATTAAAGAGGCACCTTTATACCTGGTCCAGAGACACAAAATCAAGTAAATCTTTACAAAGCAAATTTCCAAGACTGTTGTTTCCATCAGCTAAATGAGCACACACACACACACAAAAACAAAAACCTCATGGATTTGCTTCAAAATAATAATAAAAAATAAATTTCCCCTGCAGTTCAGTAACCCAAAGGAACAGCTTTGCTTCCAGGGACAGAAAGGCACAAAAAGCAGACAATTAGTGAAAAGGGAAAAAATATTTTGCTGCAGAAGTTTTCCCAGTTCTTGGAACACAGATATGGATATTCTGGAGTGGGGGGTGAGGTACATTTTAACCAGATAAAGATCCTCATTAAAATTACGAATAAAAAAACATTAACTGCTTCCAGCCTAGTTGAGAGTTTAGAGCATTAGATCATGTTGGAGATCTACCACAGCCAAAATGAAGACAGCTCCACAGAGATCCCCCTGGAGTTCATGCTGAAGGCTAAAATTAACTTCGGAAAGCTGATTTCTAAAAAAGCTTCAACTCAGCTCATATTTTTGCCAGTGCAGCCCAGCACAAAAGCTGCAGCTTCTCCATTTCTGCAACGAACTGTGGTTGCAAAACCACCCCAACCCCCCCGAAGGAGGCTCCCAACGAATCAGGGCCCAAACCAACCCCTTCTGGACTGTGCAAAATCCAGTCCTGCAAACCCCCTGCACCTCCAGGTCACACTCCAGCACCACCAGCACTGGTTCTGCAGCTGGTGGTTTTATCAACACACATTTTTCTCACTCTCCAGCAACTCTTCCAGAGGTCCTTGTGTCTTTTTCCCCAAGTTCTGGGGAGTACCAACACCCCCCAGGACACAGCCAGGCTCTGACAGTCCCCCCCCTCCCAACAAAGAGCCCTTTTCATGCAATTCCAAGTCACCATCATGCAACTGTTTATCCTGAAATCGCTGATCCAGGGAAGTCCTGCCCATTCCATGCATCCACAGGCAAATGGATACTTTCCCATTCAAATCCCAACACGGGGTTGTTGGGTTTGTTTGGGGTTTTTTTGAAGGAAGCATTTCCATGCTCCCTTCCCCATGCCAAGCCAGAGAAGGGAAGCCCTTTGGAGGCTGTTTGCAGTGGGTACAGTCAGTGCTGACAGATCTTGTGCTTCAAGGGAGCAGAGATGAAGAGCAAAGCAGCCAGAGAGAGATGGTGAAAAGGATGGTTTGATCACAGCATCCTGAACAAAAGCCTCAGAGAAGCATGGTGGGAAGCGAGGTGAAGTGAAGGGAGAGGCTGAATGGATTCACCTCTCAAAGGGAAACCTCAGAACAAAGGAAAAGCAAGAGGGGAAGAGGAAGAAAATGAACCAGAAATAGCTCCAGGCTGGGAGGGTGAGAAAGAACCATCCCTGGGATCTGCACCATGAGAATCTGGCCTCGAATTCAGTCTCACTTCCCCACAGTCCCAGTGACAACCAGCACGTTGTTACCCAGAAATCACCCCCAGCGTTACCAGCCAAGCTCCAGGCACTGCCCACCCGGCACCACCCGTGTCTGGGTCACTTCTCTAGCAGGGACATGCCCTCCACTGTCCCTTCTGGGCCAGTACACGTGCCACAGCCCAGGCAGCACCCAGTGCCTCCTGCCCACACCCCCACTGTGCCACTCTCTTGGGCGACACCGGTTTTTGACTATCCCTGCTGTGGCATCTTCTGAGACCTGCAATGATGGAGCTACAGACAATGGACATTTTAGCATATCCTGAGTTGGAAGGACCCTCAAGGATCATCCAGTCCAACTCCTGGCCCTGCACAGACACCCCAGCAATCCCACCCTGTCCCTCAGAGCATTGTCCAAACCCTCCTGGAGCTCATTATTTACGTCAAACTATAATCGAGAAACTCAACTCCTCGCCTTTATCACAAAACTTGCTGCAACCAAGGATGGAGGGGACACTGGTCAAACCCACAGCACCAGACTCCTACAGTAAGTTAAAGGGACCTGGCACCTCTGGCACTTCTGAAAAGTCCCATTACCCACTGATTGTTGGTTTGTGCACGTTCCTGACAATGTTCACTCACACACTCACTGAGGCAATGACAAAGGGCTCTCACAAAGAATGTCTAGTGGCAGTGAGGCTGTGGATCATTAATGACTAATTAATGGCAATTAATGTCCTGGAATGGAGGTCTTTGGAGAAAAAAAGCCTACTGATATGATATAGAAAATGTGGAAGCCACATGCAACTGAGGAGGATGAAGATGGGCAGTGCCAACAGATCTCGAGAGCACCAGCATGAAAAGCCACCCAAAGGTGTATCCAGGTGCTCCATCAGGGATGTTTGCCTGGAGCTCCTGCTCTCATTCTGGGGTGGTTTTGGGTGTAAACCCTGTGTTTCAGGCTCATTCCCTTTAAGAAGCACAAGTAGGATGGCGCAGGCTGGGACGTGCAGCCGGAATGCAGGGCTCTTCGGAAAACATCAGCCAGTTCAAGACTCCCTCAGCCCCCTCCCTCCAGCTCCTGGCGTTTTCCAGCCCCTGGGAAGGCTTTCCCTTCCCCTGTGCCCCCGGGAAGGCTCATAAGTGAGAGCAGAGGAGCCATGAGCTCTTACCTTTGGTTTTAAAAGCAAAGTTACAGTACTTGCAGACGTACGGCCTGACGTCTGTGTGCGTGCGAATGTGTTTCTTCAGCATGCTGGGTTTCTTGCAGCGAATTCCACACTCCTCACAAACATACTTCCCTCTTCCACGGCCTCGCACATACACATACTCTTCGTTTGATTTGTACCTATGAGCAACAGGTGTCATGATGAAGGCAAAAAAAAAAAAAAAAAAGAAAAAGCAGATTCCCACCTCCAAAGAAGTCACGAGTTCCGTCACTGACCCCACCGCGGGTCTCGGTTACCGTTCGGGAGCTCTGGGCGACCAGGCTAAATACAAAATATCTTCAAAAGCTTTTTTTTCCCTCGTCTGGAATGTGTTCTTGTGTCCTACATCCGCTTGTGTGGGCAGGCAAACAGCCCAAAGGCTGAGATCAGTCCCCCAAATGTCCTGGTTTTGCCCATCCTCAAACACAAACTGAGGCACTCGGGGTGCCCTGGGGAAGGTGTGTCCCAGTCCAGCCCAGCTGCCTCAGTCATCTCTCTCCCATCAAATATGCACAGTCTGTCACTGCACCATGAAAAGTCCTGAGGAACCTCCTGGGATCCAACCTGGTTGTATCCCAGCTAAAATTCCTGGGATCCAACCTTCCCACCCACTGGGACGAGAGAAAAGCCACCTGAGAAGACACTGATGCCACACTTCAAGCTGTGATCCCTGCCCAGACTCCTGATAGGATGGGACACCCAGAATGGACACAGAGAGAAGAAAACATCCATATTTTTTATAAATAAATTGTGCTACCACTAAATGTAACCAGCACAGACTCCAGGCTCTTTCATCTTTGGCACAATATCATGGCTTAGGTTTACCCAAGAGACTGACATTGGTCATCCATCCTTCCCTCACATTATACAGTCACTTCTTTTCTGCCCAGGCAACATGATGGGGGTTTGAAAAATACTCTTAAGACTGAGACGAGTCGTTTAGTCTCCTGCTGCTCAGCAAATGAAGTCTGCAATTTCCTGTACTTGCAGCACAAGAAGAATAAGGTAACACAAAATTGGTCCCCTCAGATTTTCAAGAGGCCACGTTTTTGAAGCACTGTACTTCTTGCAACTCATTTTTCTATGCAGTAGGAATTAAGTCTGGTCTTCAGAAATCTCCAAACATCCACCTTGGAAAATCAGGCCTTCTAAAGCCTCTTAATAGGGGATTCAAAGACAGACAACACCATCAGTCACCTCTTAGTATCTTCCCAATAAAGCCTATTCCAAACCAGAATGATGAGAAAACAGCAGCCAGACTGAAGAATAATTGAATAAAAACAGCTGCACTAGAATAGATTGAGTACTTAAATAAGTGAATACAGAATAAATCCTAAATCCCTATGTATTCATAATGAAGAAAAAAAAAGTAATTTAAAACTGATTAAAAAAATACACAAAGATCATTAATCCAGCCCTGAGCTGATGGGATGAGAATGTCATGGTCTGCACGGGATGCATCCATGGAAATACATCCCAGTTACCTGCAAGAGTGGATTTAGAGGCAGGGAAGTCACAAGGACCCCTTGATGTCCCACCCAGGCAGAACATTGTTTCACTGCTTAGGAAGAGTCCAGGCAATCTCAGCTCCACGTGGGTGTTTGGGGGACCCACTACACCTGAAACTCAGATTAATCTTCCTGGGTGGCCCCTGGAGGGGTGAGCTCAGCACTAAACCCTTCCCCTCCTGCCAAGTGGTGCCTGAGCCCTGTGGCAGAGTTGGGAGTCGATGCTCAGAGGATGCTGAGTAGGTCATTCATGAAGGTGATGAGGGCACAGACTCAGGTTTGGACACAGACCAGAGAAGAGAGAGGAAAGTGGGTGTCTAGAAGGCCCCACTTTGTACCAGCACCAGCACCACCAGCACCAGGTCTCAGTGTCCAACATGTGAGAGAACAGTCTGTGTTTCTGTCCCTCAGCACCAGCAGTTCTCTAGATCATAACCAGGGTCATCTGGCAGCCCAGATCCTCTATTTTATCTCTTGTGATTGAAGCCACAGCAATGCCATCTACTCCATGCCATTCCCAACCCTCCAAAAACAAACTCAACCCCAACAAAATCTCCAAACCCCAACATCAAAACCCTTCATCCCGAGGTTCTCATCATGTGGGCAGAGGGGACTGAGCTGAGGGCTGAAGAGCTCCCACTGTCTCCCAGCCTCCAGCCCAGTATGCCCAGTTACCTCCATTCCAGGGCACACATAACTAATTGTTAGGGATGGCCCATGGCCCTTTTTCAGTTGGTGACTTAATGTTCAAGCAGCAAAAGGAGCAAAAGGAATCAGGAATCCTGATTTCTCCTCTTCTGTTCCGATTTGTATTTGAGGTTTCCTTCTCGCCCTCCTTTCTCCCTGTCATTGTGCTGACAATCACCTGGCCACTTAAAAAATGAAATTGCTCCTTTGTCAGCCTTGTACTTGCACTACCCCTAATTACACTCTCACATGGAAATCTCTGAGCGAGTTCTTTGTGTCCAGCAGTCCCTTCATCAGCCTCATTAAAGCAATCGGGGCTGGCTCCTCCGCAGAAAGGGGGACATGTGATTTAATCTGAAATTAGACACTGCAGCTTATCTGACACTCTGGGAGACTGAGCCATCCTTCAGCACAGCTATCTTCCTACAGTGTCCAACAGGCAGGGAGAGCAGAGAAATAGGAAAGGAAAGTAACCTAAAGGAACCCCAACCCAAACCAGGAGAGAGCAAGAGGTGACAGTGCCACAGCCCAGGGAATGCTGCTGCAGGTGCCATCTGCCAGCACTGAAGGCTGCAGAGTATTTATGGAGATAACTCTTCAGTATGATGCTGGTTCCTCTGCTCATGTGCTCATGTGATTTGTATCAGAGAGACAAACCAGGGACAGCTCACTCTGTGTGAGGATTTGCCCCGGACAAAGGCTCTTCCTGCTCCATAAGGTTTGCTGTAACCAGATCCCAGGAATAGCCACGGCTGGAGCTTGTGTCAGCAAATCTGGCCTCCTCTCCCAGAGCACTGTGGAATTCATAATCCCATCATTAGCACCTCACACCTCCTGCAGGGCCACACTCCATCTAACACTGAGAGGATCGGAGAGGCGAAGGGGGGGGAAACTGGCCATTATGAGCCCAGAGACTAATTTAGGAAATAGTTCTTTCAAACAGACATGGAAAAAGATAAAAACTGAGGTATTTGATGCATCTTTGAAAGGTTATTTGCTGCTTTCTGTTGAATTTTGTTCAACCACCACAAACACTTTCCAGAGCAGGAGGAACTGGCACAGCCATGGGATGACCACCAGCAGCACCAGATTCAGAGACCTGAGGGCCCCAAAATGGGCCATCACTGGCAGGAGGCACAAGAAACCCAACAATGGAAAAACACGAACCTGGAGAAAGCTTTGTCTCAGCTCTTTCCCTAAAACTTAGTTGAAACCCAAAGCCACAAAGCATTTCTTCCTTTGAGGCCTTAGGAGGTTCAGTTCTCAATATCTGCTGTTACAAATACCTGACTATCCTGTTTAGCCACAAACACTTCTTTTTTTTCCTCTCAGTGCTCTGAGCCACATCCAAAATCTTCATGTGGCTGAAAACCACACGATAAAACCTTGGCCAGCCAGGGGGGAAGGAAGTTTGGTGGTTTGCAGGCAGGAAAGAGGGAGCAGGTTCCTGGGGGACTCATTGCTCACAGCTGGGCTGAATCACCCCTTCTCCCCTGCTTCCCTCAGCCCCCAGGAATGTACCTTGCCCTGCAAAGTCTCTGCTGGTGTGACCTTGCAGGTCACACCCTCCCAGTGGTTCCACCTCTTTGCAAGTGTCACGTAGGCAGCGACTGTGGGAATTCCACACTTTGAAGCTGTACCTTGGTTAAAAACACCCCAGGACAGTTTTGCAGCTACTGAACAAGTATTTCCTCAACTGCTTTTGACATTTGATGAACTCCCTTGTTTGCTTTTTGGATTTGGGGGCCATAGTAACAGGAATGGGACATCTGATCCCTTTCCTCCAGCTCACCCTCCTGTGAACCCAGAGTTGTTGCCTTCGGTGTCAGTCTCTGGGTTTTACTGATGGCGCATTTCATCTGTCATCAGGCTGCCCCTCATCTACCTTGGCTGAACCCCTAGGAAGTTCCTGACAGTCTGCCCTGGGTTCAACTCATCTAACTGATGTTTTATATCACCTGCAAAATTTGCCAGATCATGGATAAATGTGTCACTACCGCAGTGTCACTAATTTTATTAAGTTTATGGCCCTTCTCACTACTCCCACTAAATGGTTAGACCACTTCTAAATTATTAGACCACTTCTGAAACTGTGTGTGCAGCAGAAGCCCTTGGTTTTACCCATTGCATCCCAAGGGAAACTGCAGGTGGGAGACCCTGCAGGACTGTGCTGAGGGTCACCACACACAGAGGTGTGTCCTCAGGGCCAGACAGTCACTGAAATCTCCCCTAACTCATGCCAAGCTACAGCAGAACAAACAGAAGGATTCCTTTACAAAACCCAGACCAGACAATGTAATTTCCAGGTTTCTAAAAGCATCATAAAACCCTCCAGTATCTCAATTTACCAGACAGGGATACTGCACCAAGACAAACAAGGAGCTTCCAAAGAATGGCACAGCACAACAGAGCAAGGGCTGGGTATGGAGACAGGACCTGGCACAGAAATCTCCTCTTTCCTGGCTGCAGGGATGGATCTTTCGCAAACAGAAGCTGCCAATCTCCAGTGAAGTGCAGGAGAAGTCTGAGCTGAACCAGCCTCCACCATTCAGGATGGACACGCCCAAGGAAGCCTGGGGTGAAGGTGGCACTGTGACCATCATCCTGCTCGAATCAGGCACCAGCAGCTCCAACAAGGTTTAACACTGGCAGTTTTACACTCCCCAGGATGACCCAGCAAACCCAGGGCTCCTTCTTGACCACACATCAGGGCACAGTGGGGCCCTCGTTTTGAGTGGAGTTTAATTCAGATCACAAGTCAGGATGGATGCAGAGATCAGTTATCTCCATTCTCTTTGAGCCCAGACATCCAGCCAGCTTTTTACCCGGCACTGTTTGTGCCCCTGTCCAAGCCATAAGCAGCTGGTGTCTCCAAGGAAATGGTGTGGGAAATGGTGTGGGAAACGGTGCCAAAGGCTCTCCCAAAGCCCAGTCAGGCACATCCA